ATCCTTCTCTAATTCAAGCGTAAATTTGATATCCTCGAATGTGCTGTTGAGCACATCGTGGGTGGCCTGTACTCTGTTGGAACAAGTTGCGGGAGACGCTAGTCGAGGCGAGATCAGTGTCGGAATTTAAGAGATTCCTCGATGCCCACTTTACGGACTACAGGTATAGGGAGCGCATCGCACCCGGATAAGATGTAGTGCAGCTGTAATACGCCGTCACCGCGCAGCATAAGCAACGTGATTTCGCGCATGTGCCCGAGCCACCTACGATGGAACAACACAGAGTTATATTTTCTCGCTCTCTAATTTCAGTATTCAGTATGCAACTCGAGGCTTTATCTCTAGGGTTCAATTTTCCAGTACCAACGAGGAAGTGCAACCGATTACGGATTGAGGCACAGTTCGAAAATTCGTATGAGCAACTGTCCCGTTTGATACCAGTCATCTACAATGCAGGCAGCTGGTTTAAGGCAAAGTGGATTTAGACAACCAAATTCGCGTTACTGAAACGGAAAAACACATAAGTTAACAAAGGAACATTGGGAATCACTGAAGAATCCAAGCAAAATGAAAAGGTTATAATAATGAAACCTGACAAGGGGTCGGGAGTAGTCATTATGAAAAAACCAGATTATGCTGAAAAATGCAGGCGATTCTTGCAGACACTGGCCGCTTCGTTCGCGACTTGACGTGTCGGGATAGAACCGAACATGTTGATATATTCATAGTTCGTGAACTAATAGGGCTACTGGTGCGAAAACCATGACATAGCTTCACTCACGTGGGCTCAACGTCCCATTTTGTATGGTTTGTCAAAGACACACAAGGAGGGTAATTCTATGCGTCCAATCGTAGCAATCGTAAACGCGTCATATCACAAGATGGCACGTTGGCTAACCGATGTGAGCTAGCAGGGTTCACTCTCAAAGATACATTTGGGCTTGTCGACAAAATACGGGGTTTTAATGTAGCTGGGAAATACATGGCCGCTTATGATCTATGCTGACTGTTCCCCAACGTCCCATTGGGAGAGAGGTTAGATATTATCGGTGCAGATAAAGTTGGGATTCCAGCACATCACCACAAGTCTTTACTTCGTTTGTGTACAAAAGAGATACTGTTCAAGTTAAAGGGAACAATATACCATCAAATCGGTGACGTAGCAATGTACAGTCCACTGGGGCCAATGCTGGCTGATATTTCCCTGGTCCACTTGGAGAACACGAAACTATGTCCTTACATAAACTGGTGTACTTAGACAGTAGATCGTTTGACGACACGTTCGTTGTAGTTGATAACGCCCAGCAAGCAGAGCGATTACTTGAAGTTCTAAATAAATGTCGTCCTGTGATCAAATTCACAATGGAAAGAGAGGTGGACAACACCTTCCAATTCTTGGATGTACACCTGAAGATGAATGCAGAAGACACACTCACTCGATCTGTGTATCGAAAGCCTACTTGGACGGGAAAATATTTGAATTTCAACAGTTTCTGTCCTATAAATTACAAACGAGCATTGGTCCGCTGTGTTTTGCAAGAGCTCGCAAATTTGTTCTGAAGATACAGTCAACAGCGAACTAGAACGCATGTCATCAACAATACAGGAAAATAGGTACCAGTGAGATATGCGAGTGCAGAAAATAGTAAGAAACGTTCGGTAGATGTCCACAAGAAAAATGTTCATCACACTGCCGTGTAAGGGGGTCAAAACGAGAGGAGAGTCCAGTTCCGCCTCCGCAAAGGCAGTGGGGAAATATTAGTACGCGACCGAACTGGTGTTATTGCACCAAATTAGGAGGTTGCTATGTAAATATAACCTGGACAAGCCACATCTGCTTGGTGCAGCTTCTTGTAGTTATCTCGTCCACTGTACTTGTGGTAGCAGGTACGTTGGCTGAACTGAAACGAGTTTGTGCATTAGGATATCAGAGCACGAAATATGGTCGCCAACAGTCCCAAACTGCCGGCCAGATCTACTGAGCAGCACACCCTAGACTGCATTAAGTGCTGAAGCCCTTGTGATTCGTTTAAACTAATTAACTTGCCGAGCAATGCCTATCTGTCTCAGTTTGACGAAGCATCGGATAGTTGGCGGCATAAGGCCGATTTGTGCAGATGGACTGAAATTACGGCCAGCCTCGTCTTATTTTGGTTAGGTAATTGATCGTTTCATTTGAATTGAATGATCCTTTGTAAGCAGCACCACGGTTTCACGGATTGCATGTAAATAGCTGACGAGAATACTCTAAATACCTGAATTCAGTGTATCCTGTTATGAAACTTGTGAGGGGAAAATTATGCACTAAAATTTCTGTTGGACAGAGTCTGTGGCTGATAAGAGCTGATGATGTTCAAGGAAATAGGGGCAGAATCGAGAAACCGCGGAGCGTGTTGGTAGATGAGAATGACTCTGATAGGTGACGCAACACAGTTATAAACAGGTTGCGTATGCAAGCCAAAGGATCAGACAAGTGTGTATCAAAGGGATGCTCAAGTTATAGCTGTACAAAAACCCTACGCAAAAACAGTCGATGCAATAGTACTAGAAGGAAAGCGTACTGAAGCATATGTAAGCAACCCACCACTAAGTACTCGTTTATTCAAACCACACATTTTGCAGCAGTCTAAGAATAGACACAAAGCCATTGAAAACCATGGAAATCAAATGAATGTCAAATTGACGTAAAATGAAAATCAAACACAACAATACCGAGAAATTCATGGTTTCTTCAGAGGGCACGATACTACCCCGTTGCCCAAGTCGACGAAGGGTGTTGACGTATGGGACCCCACCCCGAGTTTTTGTCTGAGTAGCCTACTAACATGGCAGCATGGTAAATTCAGGGAATCGCGCCCATTGGAAACCGGTGACTGATTGCTCAGTTTATACACCTTTCGTTTGGTCGGCTACCGAACAAAGGTCCAATTATCCTGACAATTTAAGCGTCAGGTTGCTACAAAATGCCAGCAGAGTGAAGAGAGGGTCAGTGACTTCATTTAGTTGTGAGTCAAATCCGCTACGTCGCAGTGTTGTTAAACGGACGTATGTGGTTTATTATAAAGAGAACATTTTAAACCAACGGAAGCAGTGGAGAACAAGGTGCGTGGGTAAGATAAAAAAAACTGACGGAAGGGAAGTAGCAGAGATGAAGACCAATCCACTTGAAATCAGGTGAAACGAACGCACGCATTTGTGCGGCTGAGTGGGTGCGCGCACCATCCTGAACAATCTAATTGAAGACGGAGGGTTTTAGGTATCAAAAATGTTGGTACATGGAAGTATCTGATTAGTGATAGGAGAGGCACATGGAACATAAGCGCTAGGTGGTCTGGAAAAAAGAGATAGGACAGACGTGTAACCTTCAAAACCAATCCCGTAATGCACTGATCGATGAGAAATGCATCGATTGGTAAATGAAGTTGTCAGAGTAGAAGGCAGAATATGACCCCGTTGCAGTCCAAATGAGGACCAGACATTTAAGAGAAACTCATTGAAGTGATAACTCATGGTGCTTAGTTGCACTGCGATCAATTTCAACCGGGGAGATTATCCAGAGAATACAGGTGACCGTAACGATAGAAAGAGTGTAGATCAATAACACACACGCAGTAGCGGAGGAAACACAGTTGTTTAACCGGCTGCTTCCAAGTGGGTTTGCTCTAGCAGTCACTGGATTGTGTTGTCACACCGGTACTCAGCCGGTTTTTATGAACAGTAGATGGCTCATTCGATTTCAGCAGTTTCGCGCAATCGGAGTGGGTGGGACCGAGATAACCTTAAACAAACTAGGTCCTTTATTGCTTACGAGGATGAAGACAATATCGGCAGCAAAATCATGGTGCTCTGACGCATGCTAATACCGAAGAATAGCACACAGGTCAAACACCATCTCGACCCAGATTATCTTGATTGCATAGAGGATAAATTTAGTTGAATAACAAACTTGGCTTAAACAGAATCAATCGAGTGAGGGATTTCATAGTTTTTAGAAAACCAAACCACGCTGCGAGTACCCCAAAGCCCAACATATAACTTCCAACATCTGTGTGAAGCGTTCCTCGTGTAGCTCAATGGGCTAGTGATCATAGCGACTTCCGCCAAACACTATCGTCGAGTTTCACTCCCAGATCAGGCCATCCCAATCTGATGGGTCCGAACAAGGAGGAAACGCGTCGTGGAGAGCAGTGATTGGAGTGGGTAATATCCAAACCGTCAACTTCGGATACAGTCCCGGTGATCCGAATGGCAGAGGTTGACTTCAAAGTCAACCGAGGCCATAAGTGAGATTGCGTGTCGCAATCCAAGACATACGGCGGGTATTTCAAAGCCCAAGATTTGCATAGTGGATAGTTAAAATCTCAGCTGTTTACGAAGAGATAAGACAGTGGCTGATTTGTCAACATCGTTACTCTACGACATCAAGTCTGGCACTGTACGTCGATGGTTATTTGTAGACACCGATGCGTATAGTGCATCACCTATTTGTGAAGGACTAATAAGTGGGTAAGGACAATTCAGGTGATTAGGTCGCAAACCATTTGGTGCCACAGCAGATAACCATAAGAGACTGAACCGCCTTGGTGGGTTGGATTACGTTCTTCATACTTTTATAGCTTGCCAACCTCGAGGTGCACCGTTGTCCGATACTGTGACAGCTACCCGCGGGATAGGGTAAAGCGGTGGCTAGAAACATCCTTCAATATGAAACTGATGCCAGGACAAGGGCTTTTGTGTTTAGTCTTTTGCTACTATCTGGTAACCAAGTTATCAGATCCTTTTCTTATAAAGCTACGTTTGTAATCATCTTTAAATGTCCCTCATTCTCCAATGCTGTCTTACTGATCATTACCGCACGGAGATCCTCAACGCACTTCGGCCCATGGGTATACGACGTTAACGAATGCATTGAATTGGGCTGCTCAAGTGAAGACGGTCACCTTCGCTTAACAGAGACAGTGGACTGATATCAAATTGAATCAAAGAAACAGAATACGTACCCTGTGATGATAACTTCAGGAAAAGCATTATAAGTGGTGCCCCACTCGCCACCTGTAATAGGCCATTCACGAGTGCTGAAGCTATCCGTGTGCGCGACATCCACTGGGTTGCCTGAAGTGCCAAAAGTATTGGATCGCGAACAGTTGCTGCGACTTCCAACGGAATATAGGGCAGGTACAAAGTCTGCGGGGCAGTCTACCACGTATAAACAACATGTCACGGGAGGAATATGCAAATCCATCGGGTATGGGTTTTCGAAATTAGGGTACCTGAGATGAAGTAAAAAGAGAGAAGCATGTGATCGGTCGATCAAGTACGTTTGGAATTTAGCGCAAATTCTTGTAAACGGATCGCGGAGGACATCTGAGTTGTAGGCTAAGGGACGAGAAGAAAATAGCAAATGCAAACTAAAGGAAAGACCGATTTATTGGCGCGAGAACGTAGAATTAGAAAGCCGTTTAAAGTAAATGAAAATGAGACAGCAATAGACATAAGGGGAATGATGGTCGTCGAGATTATGACCAAAAAGACTGACTTGTGTATTGGAAAACGGGAATAAAGAAATAAAAGAGGATTACAAACAGAAAAGTAAATTTCAACTCATTATTTAAATTACCACAATACTCACGCTCATGCAATCAAGAAAATAAAGTAGTCAACTTCTGTGGCACGCCAGGACAGCTTGCTAGTGTTCGATCATCAAACTAATAGCATGTGAACTCACTAGTTCGTGTCAGAGATGTGAATGGCAGAAAATGTGTTAGTAATGCGAATTACGTAATTACAGAATAGTGAATAGAAGAAATATGCACATGCTCTGTAGTAGGCAATTGAGCGACCAATCGGCGATCGCAATGGAAAGGTGCTACTGTAGGACTAGAAGTAGTCTGCTCTCTGTTACCATTGAAGGAACACAGCTAGAGATTGTGGACAACTGTGTCTACCTCAGGAGCTGTATTTCTGCAATGGCACTATTGTGAAAGAGGTAACACTTCGCATCGCCAAAGCCCGGTCGGCAGTTACAAACCTGAGTCATTTGTATTGTCGTCGGGACACATCCCCGTCCTTAAAATGGGGAGAGTTTACAACGCTTGCGTTCGTCTGGTCCTGGTGCACAGAAGTGAGTAATGGACGATTCGTGTGAATGATAGATGTAGGCTTTCGGCCTTCGAAAACACATGTCTGCAGCAGATGGCCAGTGTGTAGTGGCTGCACCGGGTTCGCAACAATGAAGTCCGGTGTCGAGTCTTAGGAAATAAGAGCCCTCCGCTTGATCGCATTGTCGCAATGCGTCAATTGAGGTGGCTTGGCCACGTTCTACGTATGTCATGTGAGCGCTTGCCAGGCCGCGCTCTATTTGCTCGCATGCGGTTGAACTGGAAGAGAAGGCGTGGAAGTCGGTCAACCACTTGGCCCCAAACCATGAAATCGCTGACCTTATGTCTCGCTATCGTTGGCCCTTTACGTTTTCCTGGTTGTGAGCCCAAGCATGAGGACTACAAATGACTCGACACACTTGGCGCGAAACGGGAATCAATGGAAAGATTGTATGGTGAAATGTTTTGAACAATGTGACTAGAGCTATATCATTTGAAATGCCCAGAAAGAAGAAAATGGCGTGTGAAAACAAAAAAAGCAAAAAACTCAAAATATTTGTTTTCAGTTCCTGACTTGTGTAAATTTTATTTCGTTCATCATGGTTTGTTGATGGCTCTGTGTCTATTTATAGGCTGATGCATATATGCATATATATACACACACACATATATATATATATATATATATATATATATATATATATATATATATATATATATATAGGCTCCTCCATTTCTTAAGCTCGACTGGTCCACCAGTGCGCAGGCTCCGTTTTAGTTCGCGTCTAATAGTCTGTCTGGTCACACTGCGTTCAGAAAAGCTGCGAAGATCGTGAAGTCTGACCAGTTTGATAAACCTGACTGAGCATGTGCTTGAGAACTGCCGCTTGAACTAAACTTAGGGATCACCGGTGTACACAAACCGCAGACTTAGCCCCACTTCAATCTAATCGTGTGAACTAGCTGTGACAAATGTATGTCGGCTACGTGTGAAAGCGCCTAACTTGATGAGCACTGATGCAACATCTCACAAAATAGTGGTCTAAGTTGATATCGGGAAAACGATGAAACGAACGGGTGCACTAGCAAAAAAGGTGCGGTCAGACCACATACAATTACCAAACGAGCAAAATCAAATGAAAAACTAACGAAGGGCCCTTCATCTGCGCAATCAGCCTGAACGAGCGTGAATGAAGAACAGTAAACTTACTCCGGTGACAGCAGGTCAATCATGACCAAGTCGTTTTGGAGCAGAACAGCGACGGCATATGGATCCATGAATTCTATATAAAAAGTGCAGAAAATACTGAGCACCTAAGGATACAAAAGTAATCCAGAAACATAACTAGAAGAGATGAGATGGTTAAGATCCCGGAAGTCTGAAAAATGCAACATGAGATGCAAGCACCTCTTTTTATATATCCTATGGATTGAGGCAACAGGCGACCGGAAAGAAAAAAGAAGAGGAAGAAGCAGACGATGAAACTGCGCGACGAAGTCTTTGACAATTGCAACTCGTGTGCTCAAGCTCAGCGCTGAAATGTTGTGTCACTTCACCGCTTCTTCAGATGCAAAAGTATGGGCTCAAAAATGCAAACACTGCGTTCAAGCTAGGGAGAAGTGAAATGAGATGGAGCCGTATTAGGCCATATACTTTCGTTTTACTTATAGTGGCATAAAGATACAGGGAATAACCGAAAAAAACGGAGAATAAAAGTGGTTCCTGTTAAGAAAAACAGGAGAATCAAAATAGCTGAGAAATAACAAGAAATTCAAAGGCTCCAAATAGCACTCTGTGTGAATCTGGAATGAATAACCGCATGCGAGCGGACTGAATAAAGTAACATCAATGGACACAGATCAGAGAACGCGGCGCTCCTTATTCAGACCAGAAGTCGCCATAAAAACATTAATTGGTCAAACCCAAATGTCATGTGAAATCTCAGATTTTGCAAAACCCGTAATCAATAGTAATGAGTTGAACACACAAGTCGAATTGCAAACATCACCAGAGAGGTTACGTAAAACGAAGTCAGCGACCTAAGCGGACATTCCGTTTACGATGAATATCGCAAAACAACGGGTGTCCAAGATCTTTCATCAGAAAAAGCCTGAAGAATAATGCTTTCAAAAGAGAAAAACCAGTAGATAAACGATTAATGCTTCCTTACGTTAAGAACGTCTCTGAACTAACAGCGATATTATTATGACTTGGGTAGCCCACAAACCAAGTGGTACTTGAGAGGATTGGTTTCAAGACCGAGAAACACAGACAAGGCATCCAGAAGGATGTCATCTACCAGATAAATTGCAAAGCATGTGATAAACACTAGATCGGACAAACTAAGAAAAATAACAACATGAATCAACGAGCAAAAACTGGTCATACGGTGACATGATTCACATTCCTTGATTTGTATAAATGAATAACAAGAAGACCAACACTACGAATGTAAATGACGTGTGGATTACAGTCTGAAACAAGACAGCGGGTTTTGGGAGGCATGTAAATTCAATCAACCGACTCGCTGAACTAGATCCTATGTATGCAGCACTACGGAAGAAGGAGTATCAAGTTAATCAAACGGGACAGAAACCTTGAAAAGCACGCCAAACGATAATGTCAACCGCAGAGGTACACGTGCTGTCATCAGGAATGAATAACGGATCGCAAATTATATGGTCATGTGCCCATCGGATAATCCAAACTCAGAACAACGACTGGTCAGTCAAGAGAAGGGGTCAGCAAACTACAATCGGCGACGTCAGTTCACCCGATTCACCTACTCTACCTGTTTTGTTAGGCAAAGCGTATAGAACACGAGATGGTGTAACATAAATTACGTTTAACACGGCATGTCGTGACCTTAGACTGTTTGAACACTAACTAGAATTATCTCATGGTTGCTACTTGCGACACCGTACTATGGCACTATTCGTGAACCCTAACGCATGAAACCCATACATCTGTGCATCCCATCGTGTTTCTACTTATCTCACACCTTTATGTCGTAATTTTCCGTTGGTTAGCTCTATCAAAGTACGTGTCATATGCAACGCCGTTAAAAGAATAAACTAGTTTAAGTATGTGTCACCATGAAACCGTATTTGTTAGATATTTGGAAAGAATTGCAGGTTTTTCGAATAGAAGTGATCTAAAATCGCGAACCGTTAAGATTAGCACGTATTAGCGGTGCTAAATGCCAGTAAGCAGCACAGATATCAATGCCGGGCACTGTCTGCTCATTTGGCTATGATGGAAACCCTTCGCTCAGGTGCGTCTCTGCATATTTGGTTAGCAGCACTCAGTTTCGGATTTGCCTGTCACTGTGGCTAGCCACAGGACGCCTGCGCCTACAGAGGCACCATGGGTGGCTTGCGCTGCACCACCCACAGCTCCAACCACCCACCCCATATCCAGTGTAAACCCGAAGGAATAAGACCGGGAGGCATGTGGATGGGAGCCACGTTTCATCAACGGAGGCGGCCCACACTCCTTCACAGGCAAACACAAGCACGCTGTATTTGGGAATCAAGCGCATGCAAGGCAGTGGCTGGACCGTAGTCCACTCCACACTGACTGCATGGAACCGCTCTACGAGCCTAGCACGGCCACAAGGACCGTGCACCCCGTCCCCTCCAGCAACGACCAACTGTCCCCTAGAGCCAGTATGCACGAGGTAGTGGGTAATAGACAGGTAGGCACCTTGTCAACATGCACATCAAGCGCCGCCACACCGGGGATATCAAGCAACAGCCAATCACTTGAGAGAAAGATAGCAAAGAAAATAAATCGAGTAATGCATACGGAAACGGTGACATAAATCTTGAATTAATGAGCATATGAAATAAGTTGTTTACTGTATATATATATATATGTTTATATATGTGTTTATATATATATGTATATATATATATATATATATATATATATATATATATATCACATTGGTATCTAGGTGAGAGTGCAGTTAAGTGGAGTGACCTCGGATGAGTTTGCAGTTGTCCCTGAGGTGAAGCAAGGCTGCGTCTTAGCTCATGCCCTGTTTAATATATATCTTCATGCAATGTTATCTTGTGCTTTTGATGCCGCTTGTGCTTACGGTGTTCGTGTGGAGCACCGTATTGATGGTGGGTTGCTGAACATCCGTCGTTTCGGTGCGAGAACTCTAGTCTGTGAGACAACTATCCGCATGTTGCTGTTTGCTGACGACTGTGCATTGTTTGCACACAGCGCGGATGAGTTGCAGCACATGACTAGTGCTCTGGCTTCGACAGCGGCCAAATTCGGGCTCACCATCAACACATGCAAAACTGTCTGTCTCTTTCAGCCTTCTCCGGAGGTGCAATCTTCAATATTGCCGCGAATCAGCATTGGTGCTGAAGTACTGGAAACCACCTCCCGCTTCAGCTACCTTGGGAGTGTGATGTCGACTGATCAGCAGATACACAGTGAGCTTCGTATCCGCGTCTCGAAGGCAGCGGCGGCATTCTGGAAGCTAGAGTACCGAGTGGGAACAACCATCAGCTTACCGTTAGCACGAAGCTGATGGTATACAAATTCATGGTGCCGTCCGTTCTTCCATACGGCAGCGTAGAGTGGACGATGTATCGGCGAGATGTGAGATAACTCGTGCGGTTCCATCAACTGTGCGACGGATTCTGCGCATCAGTTGTTGCGACAGAGTTGCGGACATGGAATTGTTGCACCTAAGTGGAATGTATGCAGTGGGCTGTATACTTTTGCTGAAGCACCTGAGGTGGCTCGGTCATGTGAGCCGTATGGATTCGACACGGATACCAAAACAGCTATTATATGGTCAGCTGAGTATTGGGAAGTGGCATGTGGGGAATCCGAAGCTTCGTTACCAGGACATGATTAAAGTGAGTCTCTCACGTTCTAATCTTGATTGCAGATCATGGGAATCGAAGGCGGTTGATCAGCGTGCACAGCGTGATCTGATCACGAAGGCCGTTGCCGAGGTGCAAGAGGAAGCCCTCGTGCATGCAGAGAAGCGGCAATTGCAGAAGCGACCGACGGCGATGGGTTATACTCCATCGAAAGCGAGCGCATGCTGCTGTAGCACATGCGGTCAAGAGTGCCTGAGTCAGGCAGGCCTAGTGAACCATGAGCGAGGCCACTCAGGGCGAACACCGAAACGACGACGAGTCCTGCAGAGAACGTAGGCAAAACCGGCGCAGCGTTTGTAGGTATGCTGAATTCGATTTACTATCCACGTGCTTGCATTCTGAGTCTCTTTATTTCAGGTGGTGGGTTTTCTATATTTCTAACGCCTTCTTATCTCACATTAATGTCTACCAAAACTATCTTCTATAAATTTGCACACGTCGCTTAAGCAAATTGTAGCTAACTTCGATAACATTTTAACGATGGGGTCATATATTAGAATATATTTTCTGACGTCTTGAACATATCGCGGATTTGTTTGTAACCAATTTATTTCATGTGCTCATTTAGTGAAGGGTTATGTCACCGTATCTGTATGCATCATCCGATTTATTTTATTTCATATCGTCGCTTCAAGTGATTGGCTGTTATCTGACATTCCCGGTGTGGCTACGCTGGATGTGCATGTTGACAAGATGCCTACCTGTCTATTACCCACTATCTCATCCATACTGGCTCTAGGAGACAGTTGGTCGTTGCTGGAGGGGACGGGGTGCACGGTCCTTGTGGCCGTTCTAGAATCAAAAAGTGGTTGCATGTACTTAGTGTGGAGCGTCTTGTATGCGATTGATTCCTAAACACAGCGTGATTGGGTTTGCCTGTGAAGGAGTGTGGGCCGGCTCCGTTGATGAAACGTGGCTCCCATCCACATGCCTCCCGGTCTTATTCCTTCGGGTTTACACTGGATATCGGGTGGGTGGTGCAGCGCAAGCCACTCATGGTGCCTCTGTAGGCGCAAGCGTCCTGTGGCTAGCCACAGTGACAGGCAAATCCGAAACCGGATGCCGCCAACCATATATATATATATATATATATATATATATATATATATATATATATATATATATATATATATATCAGGCATTCCCATGCAATATGAGCTTTACGTGACTCTTGGTGAGCTGTTGCTTCAACAATGACAACTAATCCTGTTTTTCCGGTGATCCAGTAGGATTTTTATTATGTTTGTAATTCAGTATCTTTTTCCTGTGCTGATCGCCTGTATTTCAGCCTAGAGTAAGGCTACTAAGACAAGAAAAGCGGACAGCGTCACACTTTCTTGGTCTATTTTCACAGGATTGACGTTCTGACTGG